TTTCTATCTTCTTATAGCACGCTCACCATCTCCTATTTCGTCGCATCTCCTTCTCACACCAGGTGAAAGTCTACGTCGCGGCCGTTAAGGAGGAACTGCTGAAGCACAGCGGGCAGGTCCACCACCTCCGTGACCTCAGCGCCTGGACCGTGTGGTCAGCGTGTGGTCGCACGGCTGAGAATGTCCGTGCACTGAAGATAGCCGCTGAGCTGAAGACATTTATTCTACCAATGGGATTTTAATGTTTTAAAAAATAAATATTTATTTATTTATTCCTAAATGCAGTTGCAATGACAGCAGGTATTTCTGAAACTAATAAATGAATTTCCTTAGAGCTCTGTATAGAATATATTTATTAAACTAAAGAACGTCTGAAGTTATTTATTGTCGTGTATAGTTATAATCGAATACAAGTCAATGTGTGTAGATATACTCGAATATAATTGAATGTGAATGGACACAATCTAATACAATGCAATGTGTATATACAAATTCGAATACAATTCAATGTGTATAAATATACTCGAATATAATTGAATGTGAATAGACATAATTCAATGTGCAGATTACATACAAATGCACAAGTGTTTGGTGTTACTTCCATCGCATATTATTATTGTGATTTTTTAAAAAAACACTCTATAAAGAAACATCAAAATAATTAATAAATGATTACAGGTGTATCGAAGATGGATGGTGAGATTGTCTGTTTGCCGTTTTGAAAAAAATGTGCAGTTTTTAAAGTTAAAATTAAGTCTTTTTAAATGTGTTTACGTCAGTGTAAATTACTGATACAAAAAGGTAGGCCTACATCAGGAAACTATAGAATAAAAGACAAATAATTACGATGTGGTGATGTCCATATATTTCCTGGACAATGACGGACGTGGCTGTGCGTAAGGCACCATGCAAGAGACCGACCCCCCCCCCCGACCTCACTACAATAATTTAGTTTATATAAGCATGTACACATATATTTATATTGTATTTATAGTAAATTATTCTGAAATGAGTTGTCCAGATTTTCATATTTATTGTTGCATCTGATACCAAAGTCATGAAATAAATTATAGATGACCGGGAATTACCAAAACTCTTCCTTCAAATTCTTTTTTAAATTCTGTTTTCATAGTTACCGTTCGTTTACAACTTGAGTTATGTTGACATGGACCGACATGGGTCCCGAGGAAATGGTCTATTGTTTCAGAACGTGCTTTGTTTCTCAATATGTTCCTTTGAAGTGGACTTTGAGTGACAGATCTGACAGCTAACCAGCAGCTCTGTGCACGGCACCAGATGTTTTTACAAGAGAAAGAGAGAGCTAGGAAATAACGATACACACTTTTATGAAGGCTTTTTTTTTCAACCGACTCGTGCACCACTTCATCTGGACATATTAAATGAGTGTGACTATTGCAACACTTCATGTGGACACAATAAATGAATGTTACTCGTGCACCACTTCATCAGGACACAATAATAAATGAGTGTGTCTATTGCACCACTTCATGTGGACACAATAATAAATGAATGTTACTCGTGCACCACTTCATCTGGACACAATAATAATTGAGTGTGACTATTGCACCACTTCATTTGGACACAAAAAATGAATGTTACTCATGCACACTTCCTCTGGACACAATAATAGATGAGTGTGACTATTGCACCACTTCACGTGGACAGAATAATAAATGAGTGGGACTATTGCACCACTTCACGTGGACACAATAATAAATGAGTGTGACTATTGCACCACTTCACGTGGACACAATAATAAATGAATGTTACTCGTGCACCACTTCATCTGAACACAATAAACGAATTAGGCTCGCAGCCTCGATGTGCACAAATGAAACACAGAGACGCAAGTGACAAGCAGCTGACATGACAGAATCTCAAGACTCTTTGTATGGAATAATTCTGGTGTAAAAAATATCTTAGATGAGTCTCAAAATCATGAACCCCCCCCCCCCCCCCC